TCTGCTGCTCTAGGTGCTCGTGCGTCTCCTGCTGCAGGTGTCGGTGGCGGTGAGGCTGCTGCTCTAGCTGCTAGTGAGTCTCTTGCTCCAGGTGCTGGTGAGTCTGCTCTCTCTGGTGCTGCGCCTGCTTCGGTCTTGCACACCTTCACCCTTGACTCGGGTGCTTCCCGCTCCTTCTTTCGAGACCGCACCACCCTCACACCGCTTAGTCGGCCGGTTGCGGTCTCCCTGGCAGACCCCTCTGGGGGTCCTGTCCTTGCTCACTACTCCACTGTGCTACCGTGTCCGGCGGCCCCGTCTGGCTTCCTGTCAGGTCTTTACCTCCCCTCGTTCTCTACGAACTTGGTGAGTGGTGCTGACCTGCAGGATAGAGGGGTTGACCAGTTCACTCCTGCGAGTCAGCGAGTGACCCACTGCACGTGTGCTCGGACGGGCCGACACTTGGCCACGTTTACCCGTCAGCCGGGGTCGAGCCTGTACACACTGACTACTGAGTCTCCTCAAGTCGCTGAGTCTGGTCAGGTAGCTGCGTCGGGTCAGGTGTTTGCTGCAGCGTCCAGGTCTGGTCCTGAGTCTGCCCCCTGCTCGTGTCGTCTCCTGTCTCACCAGACTCTCCTCTGGCACCACCGCCTTGGTCACCCCTCCCTGCCTCGTCTCCGAGGCATGGCCTCCCGTGTCCTTGTTTCTGGTCTCCCCCGGTCCCTCCCTCCCCTTCCTCCGGGGCCTGCCCCTACCTGCGTTCCCTGCGTCGAGGGGCGGCAGCGCGCCGCTCCTCACTCCTCCGAGTTTCCTCCGACAGAGGCTCCGCTGCAGACGCTTCACATGGACGTGTGGGGCCCAGCCCGCGTCCGTGGACAGGGTCATGAGCGTTACTTCCTGCTGGTGGTTGACGACTACTCGCGTTACACCACAGTCTTCTCCTTGCGCAGCAAGGGTGAGGTCACTGAGATGTTGATCGACTGGATCCGCGCAGCTCGTCTCCAGCTCAGAGAGAGTTTCGGCTCGGACTTTCCTGTTCTGCGTCTGCACTCCGACAGAGGCGGAGAGTTTTCCTCTGGCCTTCTGCGAGCCTTCTGTCGTGCACGAGGCATCCGCCAGACTTTCACGCTTCCGGCCTCTCCACAGCAAAATGGGATTGCTGAGCGCCGCATTGGCATGGTCATGGACGTCGCTCGTACGTCCATGATCCATGCGGTTGCTCCCCATTTTCTGTGGCCGTTCGCGGTTCAGTACGCGGCGTATCAGATCAACCTTCAGCCCCGGGTCTCCATGCCGGAGACCTCCCCTGCTCTGCGGTGGACGGGGAAGGTTGGCGATGCGTCTGCGTTCCGTGTCTGGGGATCTCGGACTTGTCTGCGGACAAGCTGTCCCCTCGTGCTCTTCCCTGCGTCTTCCTTGGCTTCCCCCCTGACGTGCCTGGTTGGCAGTTTTACCACCCCACCTCGCGCCGTGTTCTGTCCTCCCAGGACGTCACGTTTGACGAGTCGGTTCCCTACTACCGTCTCTTCCCCTACCGCACTGCACCCCTCCCCCCGCCGCCGCTCTTCCTCGCGCCAGGTCCCCCCCCGGTAGACCCCCTTCCCCCTCAGGGTCTTGCCCCCTCAGGTATGTCCCAGGTAGACGCAGTCGAGCCTGTTGAGGTAGCTGTTGACTCTGGTACTGCTGGGGGTGCTGAGCCTGGGGGTGCTGACTCTGGAGGTGCTGAGCCTGGGGGTGCTGAGCCTGGGGGTGCTGAGCCTGGGGGTGCTGAGACTGGGGGTGCGGAGCCTGAGGGTGCTGGGCCTGCTCGTGTGGCGTCTGGCGGTACTGGGTCTGGAGGTCCTTCGGGTGCTTCGTCCCGGCGGGAGCTACTCTCTCCACAGGAGCTGCGCGAGTGGTTTGCTCGGCGCTGGAGCCGTGCTGCTGGAGCTGGAGGTGCTGCTGGTGTTGGAGGTTCTACTGCTGCTGAGGGTGCTGGTACCACGGGTCCCGGAGGTGCTCGTACTGGAGGTACTGGAGCTGCTGGGCCTGCGGGTGCTCCTTGTGCTGGAGCTGCTGGCGGTGCTGGAGCTGGAGCTGGAGCTGCTGGGGGTGTTGGCGCTGGAGGTGCTGCTGGTGCTGGTGCTTCTGAGGGTGCTGGTGTTGGCGCTGCTGGAGCTGGTGCTGCTGGCGCGGCTGGAGCTGGGGGTGCTACTGGAGCTGGTGCTGCCGTTGGGGGTGCTGGTGCTGGAGCTGTTGGCGCTGCTGGAGCTGGGGGTGCTACTGGTGCTGGTGCTGTTCCTGCTGGTTCTGGGGGCGCTGCACGGCCGCGGCCGTACTTCGTTCCGCTCCTTGAGCAGGTTCTTGGTCTTCCGCCCTCTACTAGTCCTGCTCCTCCCTTAGAGTGTCCACCGCCTGTCCTGTCCGAGTCACAGTTTCAGCCCGCCTCCCCTCTGCCTGCTCCTTCTCCCTACACTGGTCCTACTGGAGGTCTTGCTGAGCGTCGTGAGCCTGCGTCTCGTCCTGCGTCGCCTGTCCGTGCTGCTCGCACTGGTGGTCGTGGTTTGCGTCAGCGTCCTCCTCCTGTCCCCGGTACGCACCGGATGTCTCTGCGTCCTTCCACTGCTCCGCTGTGTGTCCCTTTGCCGTCTCCTCCAGAGTCCTCTCTTCCTGCTCTTTCTGACCCGGAGTCGGACTCCCTTCATGCTGTCAGTCCTACTGTCACGCGTCTCCTTGCTACTGTTGTCACTGACCCTTCCTTTGAGTCCACTACTGCGTCTGCCTTAGTTGCTGAGCTTGTCGACTTCGCTGCTCGTTGTCGTCTAGACTACGCTGCTAGTCTTGTTGCTGAGTCTGAGTCTGTCTGTCCTCCGTCCGTCGGGGGTGAGTGTGCCCTTGGCACGGACGTCCTTGAGGACAAGCAGGAGGAGTTCCAGTGTTTTGCTACTGCTTCACCTCATATCGTGTCCATGCTGCTTGCCCCTGAGGGAGACCCGGATGCACCAGACATCCCGACTACGCGCTCTTACGCAGAGGCGATTGAGGGTCCCTACTCCTCTCAGTGGCAGGCAGCCATGGACGCAGAGATGGCTTCCTGGAAGTCCACAGGCACCTACGTCGACGAGGTTCCCCCACCTGGGGCGAACATCGTCAGTGGCATGTGGATTTTCATGGTGAAGCGGCCGGCGGGTTCTCCACCTGTCTTGAAGGCACGTTACGTGGCTCGAGGCTTCAGTCAGCGGCAGGGAGTTGACTACTTTCAGACCTTCTCTCCCACCCCGAAGATGACCACTCTTCGGGTGCTGCTGCACATAGCCGCTCAGCGCGACTACGAGCTTCACTCTCTTGACTTCAGCACTGCTTTCCTGCAGGGCAGCCTGCACGAGGAGATCTGGCTGCGCCGCCCACCTGGCTTCACTGGGTCGTTTCCTCCTGGTACCCAGTGGAGCCTCCGGCGGCCAGTCTACGGTCTCCGCCAGGCGCCCCGTGAGTGGCACGGCACACTGAGGACTACACTTGCGGCTCTTGGGTTTACTCCTTCTACTGCCGACCCGTCGCTGTTTCTGCGCACTGACACCTCTTTGCCACCGTTCTACATCCTCGTGTACGTCGACGACTTGGTCTTCGCCACAGCTGACACTGCTGGACTCGCCCACGTGAAGTTCGAGCTGCAGAAGAGAAACACGTGCACAGACCTGGGTGAACTGCGCAGCTACCTTGGCTTGCAGATCACTCGGGACAGAGCACAGCGCACCATTACCCTGACTCAGTCACACATGGTGCAGCAGGTCCTTCAGCGCTTCGGCTTCACGTACTCCTCGCCTCAGGCCACTCCTCTGTCTACTCGCCACTCGCTCTCAGCTCTGCCTTCGGATGAGTCCGTAGAGCCGAGTGGCCCGTACCCAGAGCTTGTTGGCTGCCTCATGTACCTGATGACCTGCACTCGACCTGACCTTGCATACCCTCTTAGCATCTTGGCACGCTATGTTGCTCCTGGGAGACACCGACCAGAGCACATGGCTGCAGCGAAGAGGGTGTTGCGCTACTTGTGCAGTACATCGGGCATGGGGCTCGTGCTTGGAGGGCGGAGTCCAGTGGTCCTCACTGGTCACGCAGACGCGTCTTGGGTTGACGACTTGGCTACGCAGCGGTCGTCACAGGGTTACACCTTCAGCCTTGGTTCTGGTTCTGTTTCATGGCGATCTACCCGCTCGTCTTCTGTTCTCAGCTCCAGCTGTGAGGCTGAGATCTACGCGGGGGGCATGGCTGCACAGGAGTTACGCTGGCTCACCTACCTGCTGACTGACCTTGGAGAGCCGCCTCGTTCTCCTCCAGTTCTGTACGTAGACAACAAGGCCATGCTGGCCTTGTGTCGGGAGCACAGACTGGAGCACAGAACGAAGCACATTGCTCTTCGCTACTTCCTTGCTCGTGAGCTGCAGCAGCGTGGTCAGCCCCGACTTGCTTACGTGGCCTCTCAGGCCAACACTGCTGATGTCTTCACCAAGGCACTCCCGCCTTGTGATCATCAGCGTTTCTGTACTCTGTTAGGTCTTGTGCCTACTTTACCTCACTTGCTCACCTCTTGACCTTGCTTGTACTGTGGCCTATATATATACCTGCACTTGCATGTTTAGCCTTATATATATATAATCCTGCATGTGAACTGGCCTTGTGGCCTTTGAACTTGTGCTCAGAATGTGTGGTGACATTGTGATCCACCCTGAGCTTGCTGTGCTTTGCTTGACTGGTCTTGTGACCCCTTGTTCTCCCCCACTTTGCCTATGGGGGTGTGTCAAACTTATATGCTATAGTCTGTGTAGGCTGTAGTGGGGTAGCTCATATGGGGTACAACACTTTAGGGTTTGGTACTTGTACTCCTCATGCTGCTCAATGCAACCATTCCCCGTTATTCTCACACGGTGGTCGGAGCGTCGGAGCTGGCGGCCTACTCTTAGTACTCGCGCATGGCGATGCGGAACGGGAGACGTTTAAAAACGTGGAGTCATCGACATCTTGGGAAGCAGGAGGTATAGGCCCAGATGCAGGCTCGGGACCAGGTTCGGATGCAGGTGACGAAGGGTCGGGAATGGGTGTGTTCGCTACATCAGGGAAAGGTGACTGTACACGAGATGAGGAGAGTGACTGGACTTGAGGTGACTGTAGGAGTGGCTGCACGGGAAGCGACTGTGAAGGAGGTGACTGTATGGGAGGCGAATGTGCTGTAAGAGGTATCGAGCGATTTGATTCTGCGGTAATGGGGACAGTATCAGATGAACTCGGTCTGTTGCTGCTGTGACTGGCAGAAGATCTGACAGTGTGGGAAATGGCGGACAGCAGAACCAACAGCTGCAGGACTTGCCCGTTCAAAGCAGCATCACTGCTCATAGTAGCTATATATTAGTACTAATAAATACGGTATTTCGTCGCTGCGGACGACTAGCGCTTTTTGCTGGTATTGACTCATGACTCAACCTACTAGTGAAGGTTTAATATACCAGCACACTAGCATCGCTTCTCCTTGTCCGGAACCTGCACTCGAGTTTCTAGTTTCATATTTCCAGACTAACGCTGCAGCCTTTTTCGTTCAGCCCTGTACCTGCAGTTTTCTCTGTTGAGATTTTTTAGAGACTTTCCGGTCACTCTGATCTGTCCCAAACTTTCTCTGGTTATGGCAATGCAGAATAATCCGAGGAGAACAATCGTGAGAGCCACAAACTTACTAGTTTCAAGTTCAACTTGTCAGCGGTGGTGGGTTAGTGGGTGGTCAGTCACCGCGTTACCACCGACCTACGCAGTTGAACCCTGTGTGTCTGAGGTGAAACAGCTTCGCGAAAAGGAGTGGCAAGCCAAAATCGGTGGAACACCTTTCGTCAAGCGTGACAGATTCATCGAACGATCAATTGAGGTTCACATTCGATGGAAGACCCCAAATGTGCAGTCTGCTGGGGAACATTGGGCTCTCCCCGCCTCGCCTCCACCACTCGCTTCGCTTCTCCCCATCATATCTTCTTTCTTGGCGTTCTCACTTCGCTTCCCCCCATCATATCTTCTTGGCATTCCCAAAGCCGCTTCGGGTTCTGCCCTAGCCCTGATAACACTCCCCTAAGTTAGGACCAAAGTGAGGCATCGTCAGGGTAATCTTTCCCAATCAGTCGTTTACTAAGATGTCTCAAAAGTACACTGCACCTCAAATCGTTCATCTGACGCGGCAGTTCCTAGTCAGTTATCCGCATTCTGCTCCTTATGTTGCCAAAAACCGAGTACAAAGGTGCAGTTCACCCCAGTTCAGGTTTTTAAGTGGGTGAGTTACATCGCAGCAATGCGGTGACATCAACCCGAAGCCCACCTGGGCTCATCCTGACGAGTCTACATCACGCCTCGCGACGTAGATAGTAGGCAGCTTAGACCGTCGTGCTTCGGACCAACTCAGTCCGTCTGTGTACCTCCGTGGAAACATATCTTATTACCGCTCCAATGGCATTTTCCCTGACTCAGCCTGTCACAAGCTAAACTTCAAGCCCAGAAATTCGCGACGGTGATCTGATGTCGAACCAGCCCGACTGACGACTCGTCAGATTTAGTCGGACTAAATCTTCATGTCGTTCAGCCGTGATTCTCTCCGCGAAGCACTGCTTCAATCTATCATAAGTTATTTTCCATTCTTGTGTTTTATATCTTATAATCAGTTAACGCTGACAATGCCCACTAATCTCTTACGTCACTTTCATTCAGGAACGGTAACATCCCCGCCTATACGAATTACAGCTCTCAACACAGCTTTCAAACCTCTCCTGGTTTTGCTGATAATAGGAATTACAGTCGCTGACGGCCAAACGGTAGCGCCTTTCCGACGGTTATCCCTCTCAAACTATTCTAACATTCCCGATGCAGTCACACCTTCTGTATGCTCACCTCCCGTACAGTCACCTCCCCCTACCTCTGCACCTGGACCCGAACCCGGGAATGTGACGCGGTATCCCATAGCTGGGGATGATAACGCATATGTAAATACGTCATCAAGGGATGCAGGAACTGGAATAAGACCACCAGCCCCAACCCTAGAGCCGGCGTGGGGGCGGTTTGAAGTGTGCTCGGGTGGTAAGGGACCGTTCAGCGTGACGATCACTCCACGGCAGATCGGAACGAAGTGGAAGGGATGGGGCACATCGTTGGGATGGTGAGGTGATTGTACTGACAATGTGTGGTTTTCTATATATTGTTCCAGAGAATGAGTTCTGAGGCGCCTCAAAAGAGGTGATTGTACTGACAATGTGTGGTTTTCTATATATTGTTCCAGAGGATGAGTTTTGAGGCGCCTCAAAAGAGGTGATTGTACTGACAATGTGTGGTTTTCTATATATTGTTCCAGAGGATGAGTTTTGAGGCGCCTCAAAAGAGGTGATTGTACTGACAATGTGTGTTTTTCTATATATTGTTCCAGAGGATGAGACTCCCAGTCACACGCTTTCTCCTCCCCACTCAACTTCTCCCTCTCCCTATAACCCCCCACCTCTCCCTTCTTCCCACATCTCCCTTTCCCCCACCTCACTCTTCCTACCTTGCCCTTCCCCTACTTCCACCACCCGGCTGGGCAACTACATCAGCGGATTCCCCCATTCACCATGTCTCCGTCCCCTCCCCTTCGTTCCCCCTTTCCCCCCAGGCTGGGCAACTACATCGGCGGGTTCCCCCGCACTCCATCCTTCAGCCTGCGTCCACCCCGTTCCCCCTCTCCTCACCTCCACCCCAGGCTGGGCAACTACATCGGCGGGTTCCCCCATTCATCCTTTTTCCTTCCCCTCCCCAAAATCCCTCCGCCCACCCCCAGGCTGGGCAACTACATCGGCGGGTTCCCCCGGGCGGCGATGGACCCTCTGCTGGACCTCATGTTCCTCCCCTCGGGCCTCAACCTCAATATAGTGCGATTCAATATAGGCGGCGGCTCCGTCCCTCAATACAGCCCTCAGCTATACACTGATTCTTCCATGCGCTGGCGGGCCATGCCGGGGTACTGGCCGGCGCAGGCAGCGGGGTTCAACTGGACGGCGGATTCGAGGCAGCAGGCGGTGCTGCTGGGAGCCAAGGATCGCGGGGTGAACGTGTTCGAGGCGTTTTCCAACAGCCCGCCCTGGTGGATGACCGCGAGTAAAGACGTCTCAGGGGCAAAGAAGGCGTGGAGGACAAACCTGCTGCGGAGGTTCGAGGGGAAGTTTGCCAAATACCTCGTAAAAGTCGTGGAGGGGTTTGCGAAAATCCCGGCGCTGGGGAACATTGAATTCGATACGCTGGAGCCGTTTAATGAAGGGCTGGAGGGACAATGGGTGGCCGGGATGGAGCAGGAAGGATGCAACTTCAACCCACCTGAGATGAGCAAAGTTCTTCTCAAGACTTGGCTGGCTCTGCGGAGAAGGAAGCTCAAGACAAAGCTGGTTGGGGTTGACAGCAACGCGGTTTTAACCAGCATAGGGTTACCACTGGTCCTTGGGAATACCTTCCTGCACAGGATCAACGTGCACGGTTACCCTCTGCCGTTACACATGTACCTGAACGTGACAACTGGACAGGCTAAGTTGTTGACAACTGCGCGTTACACCCAGATGAAGCGGCTTGCCAAATCTCTCCAGAAGGAAGTATGGGTGTCTGAGTCAGGTCCGTTACTCAGGGATGGTAGTACCTACGACCTTTCGCTCTACATGATGCGAAACATCGTTGAATCAGTCAACATCCTGGAAGCTTCTGCCTATAATTATTGGCAAATATACGACAGCAGTGACAAGTGGTCAGTGATCAGGATAAACTGGGACCACCCTCCTGGTTACATGGGACCGTTTGAATCTCCTGTGTTGCAAAAACGGTTTTGGATGCTAAAGCAGTTCACGGATCTGGTGAGGCCTGGGAGCCTGCCGTTGGTGGTGCCGCGGAAGTGCCAGCACACTGTAGCTGCTTTCTACAGTACGGAGAAACGGACAGTGAGCGTATTTATAGTGATTCAGAGGGCAGAGGATGCTATGTTTGATGTGAGGCTGACTGGGTTCAAGCTGAATGTGGGGGGACAAACAGAGGCTGTTCTTCGCAGGACCACGTGGGCAGAGGATATTGTAGTCAGTTCTGCAAATATAGCTTCTAAACCAAGAGTAGTAACTGATGTGGAAGGTCAGTCTTTCTTATCTGTAACATTCACATATGTTTTGGAGTAGTAGTAGTGCGGGCTATAGTGCTTACTGAGCACCAGCATACCGTATGTTAATTAGTCAAGTATGGTATGTCTCTGAGAACGGGGCAATCAACCCCTTGAGCCTACACCACGCCTTCCTACCACGTCTCTGAGGAAGGGACAACCAAACCCTTTCGCCTACACCACACCTACCTACCAAGCCAAATCATATTCTCCTAACGTTGGTAAAATGTACGGAGACAAAGCTTTGCCCCTCAATAGTGATGCTTGCTGTACCGCCGCTGCCATCCTGTCTCTGCACCATGTTATGCACCCAGGATGTTCGCCGAACAAACACCTTGGTGATCCCCCTCGAGTTTATCCGGAACCCCTGCAGATTCACCGATAACTGTTTCGGCTCCGCCTTTTGATTCACTATAAACAGACTCACTACAGAGTCCGCCTCGTTGAAGAACCCCGCGATGCCGTGAGAGCATTCCGCGGGGATTGTAAGCGGCTGGCTTCCAGGCTTCGCGAGACTCGTCAGCATCTTGAATATATACCATCGCTTAGACCGCTTCGGGTTTTTCACTGTACCTGAATACCCCGCAGGGTACCACGGGAAGTGGATCATTGTCCAGCGAGGGTCAGAATCGTACGTCAGCCAGTATACGTACGCAGATGCTTGCAGGATGTTGACGGTCTCGATCACGTTTCGCGCCATGTACAGTGACAGGTCGAATGGTTGTCCGAATCGCCCCATTGGCCCGGATTCGCTTATCCAAACCTCCTTCCCCATCCCCTTGGCTATATCGCGCATTTTACTGTACATCTGGGTGGTGTAGCTGACCGGATCCTGGTTACTCGGGGCCGGGTCCATGTACCCATGGACGTTGATCCGCTTCACTTCATTTATCCTCGCTATAGAGTTGATCGCCGAAACCGTGTCCTCCGTCCAGCTATCAAACGCGGCGACTTTCGTCTGGAGTCCTTTCTTCTTCAAAGCGTCTAGAGTACCCCACAGCACACGGGTTATAGCGGGGACGTCGAAATTACACCCCTCCTGCCCGTTCCCCGCGTTCCAGAAGTTTTCCAGCGGCTCGTTAAACGGCTCCAGCGTATCGAAAGTCAAATTCCAAGCCGGGTCTTTTGCGAACTTCTCCACCACTGTAGTGAGGTAATCCACAAACTTCCCTTCGTAGCGCGGCTGCAGGTTCGGCTGGTTCTTCTCCGACGCGCCTGCCACGTCACCCGACACAGTCATCCACCACGGCGGGCTGTTTGAAAACGCCTCGAAAATATTCGCGCCGCGCTCCCTGGCGCCAAACAGAACATTCCTTTGCCGTTGATCCGCGCTCCAATCGTACGGCCCAGCCTCCGCCGGCCAATACCCGGGTATGGCCTTCCAGCCAGTCGTCACGTCTTTAGAAAACTGCGGACTTAGTGTTTCGTTGTGCCCTCCGCCTATGTTGTAGCGGACGATGTTCAGTCCGAGCCCTTTCCGGGGGTGGAAGATGAGGTCCAGCAGCGTATCCATGCGATCCTTGGGGAAGCCTCCGATGTAGTTGCCTTGCCTGGTGGATCAAGGGGAGAGATAACGTTCAAGCGGGAATGTGAACAATGGGGCATTTTTTAGATGAAGTCGAAGCATGGAGGGTACTTGGCGAGGGTGGGCGAGCATTGGGGGAGTAGTTTGACAAGTGAAGGACTGGGGGGTTAGGAAGAAGGAAGAAGAGAAGAAGAGGAGGGGAGGAGAGGGTGGGGGGAGGGTGCCCGAAGGCGGCGAAAGAATGAGAGAGGAAGTGGATGCTGAGTAAATGAATGGACTCACCAAGCCAGAGACGTGCCCCATCCCTTCCACCTCGTCCCGATGAAGGAGGGAGTGATATTCAAGCTGATCGGCCCGGGGAAGCTACAGATGTCGAACAGCTCGTTGACCGGTTGTAGCGACGGCGGCGGGGAGAGCGACTTGGATTCGTCGACGGAAAACAGGCGGACGCTCCGGTTGCGCCGTTCGCGCCGCATACGCGCGTGAATGGTGATTTCGTCGAGTGAGTATCGCCCCGCTGCGCCCGCTGTTGATGCCGGGCGGATGCTGTCGCGATGCAACGCGCGCGCGTGGGCGGCGCGGAAGGAGGAACTCAATAACGCGGACACTATGAACAGCAATGGCAGTGGAGGGGGTCTCCGCCTATAAAGAGCCGCCCCGGTGCTACTTGCCATGCTGGAGATGCAGTAGAAAATCTAGGGTAGAACCCTGACGACAGTTATTCTGTTTTCCTGAAGCACTGGGCAGGGAGGGAATTCGTGCACAGGTTTGAAGGCTCGAGGCTACAGGGAAGTGCTAGCGTATTCAAAACCGGTCTTGCCGTTTGTCTGGAGGTTTACTTCAAGACTAGCCAGAATTCAACAACGAATTCTGATGTAAGCTCTTGGCAAATATAGACGGCGATCAGCCAGTGTTCGACGCGCCCTATGGTAGATTTGAGAGAATAGTTTGCATGGGGGACTGCGCGCTTCAAATTCGCGCGTGAGGCTCGATAATACCTTCCGGATTCGATCGAGGGGCGGAAGTAACATGGGTGACACAGAATTGGGCTCACACTCGACCTGAAAGTACCGACTGCATTCCAAAATTGGGCTCACACTCGACTCACATTCCTACTCTGGGCTCGAAGCGCGACATTTTCCAATTTTGGTGACTTTGGTCGGGGATCTCTCCCCAAGCACATGGCGCGCGCAATCTCTCGGGACATTGCGCCACTTTGGTCTGGAGGCGCGGTTCGCCACCTGTCTTCCTACCCAGCTGTCTGTTGACCAGCTCCCAGGCGGACCACTCCAACGATTATCTGCGACAGTATTTTCCAGGAAATTGACGGTCTTCATATGGCAGAACGATTTGGACGAGTCGCCAAGCTACATCGTACAGCTCAATAGGTCGCAAATGGGTCCACAGCCGTCACCTGGACGTTTGAGGCTGAGTGCGATTGGGGGTCGAATGCCACATTGAAGCGGTGCGACCTCATGGAACTGACATGCGATTTCGCTCACTCCTCAGCGGGGATGTTCCAAATGAAACAGTGAGCATTTTCGTTGGCATAAACGAGTGCAACCAGGTTGAATGTTATTGATTTATTTAGCCTTCTTTTCCTTACTGTGGCTGTACCAACGTCACCAGAAGCAGGCCACAACATAAAGCGTCATAAAAACCATTCAGGAAAGATTAAATCGTATTTCGGATTTAAATAGGAGATTTAATGTCCTGACGTGACGGGGTATATGATTGTTCATAATATTATCGTTGTAATAGTGGAAATAACTGGGTTGGTCTCACATGCGTATATACTCACCATCGCCAAGACACAACAGCGAGTACTACCAAGACCCCACCACACCCCGACCAACGTTCACATGAAGCCTGCACCACATACGGTACTTCCGCATTTTCTGCATACAATGGATGCTCCCACGTTCTCGACCAGATATGGGTACTAAAACACCTAGCCATTGCTAATCTACGCACGAGCAATTATATTACGTGGAGACCCCGAGTCACCGTCGACTATGGCTGTCAGTAAAAAAGGCGGGCGCCTGGATTCTGTCGTTAATCATAGCTCTTACCATCGTCCGCCGCCCAACTATGGCTCCCGTAGTAGGATTCGGATACGAGCCCTTCACGAGACTCTTAGACACTCAATTTGCCAGCGATTTTCCAGCCTGTTGATTCTTTCATGTCTCTTCACATTCGCCCCCTCCTTCACTCTCTGCCAAAAGATCGACTCGACTAGTAGTTTAGCGGATCTTGCGGAAGGGTCCGTATCCCCTCCAATCCCTTCGCCTGCTCCTGATACCTCGGCCCCAAGCTCAGCACCGTATGCAGATATAGATGGTCTCGCCGCCGACAGCAGCAACACAGCTAGCAAAGGAGTTGACAATAGCGAGTATTGGTCACCCGCTCCCGCTTCCTTGCCCGCCACCTCGGACAAGGCGTCTGCGGAGAAAACGGGGGACTTGGGATCTGCCCCTGCGCCGTCGTACACAGGGTCGGAAAGTAGTGGCTCGCTCAGCAGTGGCGCGATAGTAGCTACAGTGCTTGGAGTTGTTTTTGGAGTATTTATGTTGGTAGTTGTGATATTGGTGGCTGTGGTTCGTGCCAAGAACCACGAGCGAGCTCGTGCGGTATCTAGAGGTAACTTTGGGGACGTGGACCTTTAGCAACGGTATATACTGTATTGCTCATGCTGCTGCGATTTGTTCCCCTTCTGTAGCACCTAAAAGCATTTCCTCTGCAAGTCTTCATATTTTAATTCATGTGTCATTGATGTTCAGCCAGCTGTTGAAACGAGCCAAATCACGAAAACAATACAAAGGACATAACTACCATATTGGCAATGCAGCGTCATCATCATACTAAC